CATAGTGTTTTAATGGAAACTCTACATGTAATAAATTCAGTTTGCTTTTTTACCTGTGAAGTTTTTCACTAAGTGGAGAATAAAGGACGATGAACTTGTATTGATGATCTTCTCATCAAGTACTACCCAGGATCTTGTAGGAAGCTCAGCAGGAATAGTCATGTTAGCACCATCACAGAGAAGCACAGGAGTTCTTATTTTGAGGATGTCCATACACAGTTCCAGCTTACTTCTGATGTTTTTAGATGCAGAAAACAGGCCAAAATCACAAATTATATCTATGGATAAGTGAATATGTGTATTGTGTCAACTTTATTTTCTTTAGTTGTTCTGTAGACAGGATGTTTCCTCTATAGATGACATTTTCCAGTGTGTAAACCTTGGAATGACAATTATATCCATTTAAACCTAGCTTCTTAAAGATATTTATATGTCAAAAAAATATAAATTCATCACTGTGAGTTTTTGTTTGTTAAAAAATGATTGCAATTCTTTCTTGGGTGTGAATGACACCAAAGCAATTGAAAATACCAGATCTCAAGACAACAAATCTTTGTATATAATGTACCTTTCCTTGTAAAACAGCCTTTATGTGCAGAAAATGTCATTGGGCTGACATAGAATGCAAAACTTTGCTTTAATCTTTGCAGATATCAGCGGGAATGGCTTCATTGATACCAATGATTTAACAGAGGTGTTGAAGGCTGCCAATCTCCCTCTCCCAGGATATAAAGCCAGAGAGCTCATTCAGAGTCTGACAACCACAGGGAATGGCAGGATCAGTTTTGATGAATTTATTTCAGTAAGTAAGATGTTATTTATTTCAATCACTCAAGGTGATCCACAGGGCACGGCAGAGGCACAAACACAGGGTCTCATGGGCACCTCATTAATCCAATGAGTCTCTTCACCAGAAAAGTTGAAAGCAGAAAGTAACCAAACTAGAAATTCTGCAATTAACTGGGACAAGTTATTGCATATTGCAATATTTGCAGTTTGCAAATGTAAATGCAAAATTGCATATTGTATATTGCCATTATTGTATTGCATAGATGTCATATCTTTCAGTTTGGTTGGTGCAGCAAGATAAAGTTTTATGTTATACACACAAAAAGACGATGTTCTGGCTAGATGATTACAAAATGTGTAAGCAGATCAAAACTGAAAACTTCATGGGTCATTTTTTAATCAAAAAGCTTCTTTTTATGGTCTGAGCTGGGTTAAAAGCAAATGCTAAAACAGTGGGATTTCCCTTGGGATGGAGAAGTAGGTTTTTCCTTGCTCTTTCTTCAAACCCAAATTGCTCTGCTGCAGAGTAACATTTTTGCTACTTAGCTGATCTTTGTTCCCTGATTTGAAAGCATAAAAGCTGAGCATAATCCTGTTGTACCTCAGCAGATACACAGACTGTACACAGAAACCCACTGAAAATACTCTAGCTGCCCTTCCCTATTTATGAAGCAGAGAGAATGTGTCTCCTGGCCAAAGAGTTCACTGTTTTAGCTTGGTTCAATTGTCCAAAATTCTAAAACAATCTCTCATGCTTGAAAGATTTTCCAAGACCTGAAGAGTGATGACGTTGCGAAGTCATTCCGAAAGCAAATCAACAAGAAGGAGGGGATCTGTGCTATTGGTGGGACATCAGAGCAGTCCAGTGCTGGCACACAACACTCCTATTCAGGTAGGTGCAGCTGTCCCACACTGATAGCAGCACATGAGCCACAGCTGCAGCAGCACAAACACCTGCCCACTGCTGCCCCTGCTCACCAGGGAGGCAAGGCACAGCTTCCCCGCTGCTGATAACCCATTTCCTTGTACATTTTATCAGGCACTCGTTCTGTAACCTCCCCTTGCAACCAGGTAGTTCCTGACTTTTTCCCATGGAGGGCACAGCCCCATCAGGGCTTTTCTCCAGCCTGTTTCTCCGAGCTGGTTGCTTTTGTTGCCTCCTGAGCACAGCCCACTCTGAAGCAGTTCCACGGGGAGGAGGTCCTACCCTTGGCTATCTTCTGCAGGGGATAAGAGTGAGGGACTGACTCTCTCTGGGGAAGGGAGAACAGAGGGTGCTTCCAAGGACTCCATCCACCTTCATCCCAGAGGGCACCTGCTCTGAGCTCCTGGGAGCCATGGGAGCTGCTGCTGGTACAGACAGGCTAGCTGTGCTTCAGCCCCGTTGAGCTACAGGCACATCTGCCCATTGCCCTCTGAATGCTCTTTGCCAGAGCCCAGTCCTGGCCAGGCTTTTCTAGATATTCCACATGAAGAGGGTGTAATGTACAATAAGGAATTGTCTGAAGTTATGTGGGAATTCTATTTGGCAGAGTGGTACAACAATGCATTCAAATTACGGTGAAAGCACAAATGACTCCTTGTTGCCCTGAAACTTAGAGCCTTCTGATAATGTTTTCATAGTTTTAGTTACTTTCCCATGAAAGTTCTATAAGCATAAGTTGTTTATCACATTCCTTCTAAGAAATGTCTTTTGATGGACGTTTCACATGACTAGTGTGCTTGGGAGGGTGGTAACTTAATTATCCAATCCCTGGTCACTGTCAAGGATCTATAAATACTGGAGCCAGAGAATAAAGTTCCTTTTTTCCTGTTCTGACACTGAGAGGTGTCTGTGTGAATAATTTCATGTCCTTTAGCAACAAGTCCTTGCAGAGTTTAACATCTGCACCACACGTTTGAACCACGTGGACTTTGTTACCAGTCTCAGTAATATGCCTGCCCTCATGACCCCAGTGAGTGATAAGGGGTGTTGAAGGAGTATGTACCAGCTCAAGCCCATTGCTGTCCCCAGCTCATTTGCTTGTCTCCTGAGAGCCTCTTCCATGCAGGGTTTTGTTGATCAGTCACACTGGTGGGAGAGGCTCCCCCAGGAGTTCTGACTTTGTAAGTAAAATGATGGTAGAGGTACTGCACGGCAAACTGATGGATTTGATGTTGTGTCCACAGAGGAAGAAAAATATGCCTTTGTCAACTGGATTAACAAAGCCCTTGAGAAGGACCCTGACTGCAAGCACGTGGTGCCAATGAATCCAGAAACAGATGACCTCTTCCAGGCGGTCGGTGATGGCATAGTGCTTTGGTAAATAATACCTTTCTTTCTCACAAACAGGAACCATGAGTCTGCAAAAACTCACATTTCTGTTTAACCAGAAGCAGCTGAATTTACATTAACCTCAGGAGCATTTCCAGACTCAGGGCCTTGATAATACTAGAGTTTTTGTGCTTCTTTTATCTTCAAAAAATAAAAAGCATATTTCATGCTTAATGAGAATTTTTCCTTGCCTCTAGACACTTACAATTAGATGAAGTCAGTGAAATTTGAGGAGCTGCTTTGTTTTATTTTTGCCCAAGGACTTTTGGTGTTTCACACAAAGCGGCACAAAATAGTGAGTGCTTCCACAGACATTTTCTGCACAATAAACTTCTCACACAACTTCACCTTGTGGCATTCTTGGCCTCACACCTACAGTACAATCTGTATGTAGACCAAAATAAGTGCTTAAGTATTGAGTGTATGCCTCTGTGTATATATGTAGAAGCAGAGGGTGATTATCTATTTTTGTTAAGAAACTCTCCAGCTCTTAGACTTGTCCTGCAATGTAGAGACAAAAGCTATACCTGTATTTTGTGCACACATAGCTTAGTGTATTTCTTCTGTCTTATTATATTTTCCTTTTATTTCCAGTAAGATGATCAACTTTTCAGTGCCAGATACCATTGATGAGAGAACAATCAACAAAAAGAAACTCACGCCCTTCACAATACAGGTACAAAACCAAAACAAAATTCTTTGCTTTTCCCCTTAGGATGCTTTCCTGAAATCAATTAGAAGAAAGGCTGGTTCTGCCCAACACAGTCAGGCAAACTTGTTTGTGGCACAGTGAGATGCTCAGGTCCATGCTATAAAAACACATATAAAGACTAATATTTACATTTCTTTCCAAATAAATGAGGAACCTGACTAACCAAACACAACAAATAATACTCACCAGATCAGAACTTTAGATACTTCTGTGGTAGATGTCACATGAGTGCAAGAGCACAGAAATAATACAATACAGAAATAACACAATGACCAATAGCAGTTGGAGTAGCTCTCAGAAGACTGAATCCCTCTTTTAAGGCATGACAATGGACTTGAACTCACAGCTGCTGTTGTTGCAGTCTGATTTCCTCACCAAAATATTACCTGTGACCCTGGAAGTACCAGGGCAACATGCCTGAAATCGGACCATTGCTGTTGCATGCCTTTTACAACCCAGTATTTCACCTTGAATAAGGTATCCCTCCTTTATTTCTATCACATGCATATGTATGTCATTTTTAAAATGGACAAAAAGGGTGTTAATTTTCACTACTTAAAGTTTATTGTGTTTCTCACACAGCAGTATGTAGAGAGATATATTTATATGAACAACATCTATGTACCTGGTACAGAGTATAAATAGATATATGGAATAGATATGAACCTAACCCAGTTTGGCCCTCAGCTACTCTGATTTGATGGAGCATTAGCCAGACTCAAGGAAGCTCAGAAGCCATTAAATTGGATTTTTATGCTGTATACCTCATTTTTCAGTTCTAATCGTTTTGGTCAGCAGCATAACTTAATGATGCAGCTCAGATCAATCCCTGTCACACATAGACATGATTTGATCAATATAGCTTCCACTTTAACTTAACCCTTTTACAGCTGTCTGCTGGAGAAAAGGTAATTAATTAGAAATGTTCCAGTTGTTCTAGCTTTTGAAAATTTACACTATGTCTCTTTCTGCATTTTGTATTTAATCAGATCTCCCTGTCATGACAGCACTGCTGAAATTCATGTGAGAAATTGCCAATCTGTGTGATAAATTATATTTTCCAGGCTTCTTTGCCTGCTTTGCTTGCCCTCTGTTTACAAAGCCACCTTTTAGCATAGTGTAGACCTGAGGATCAGGTTTTCTTATTCCCTTCCTTTTAAATGGACAGGAAATGGCAAAGGAACATAATGTTCCTGAAATACCAGTTTTATTTCTGCCTGTCACTGTGAATCACTGAATCCCTCATCTTCCTCTGCACACTCCCAAACCAGGAGTCTGTACTCCAAAGCTGAAAAAGAAAATGTCCAGATATTACCAGTTCTGACCTTGACTGAACTGCAAGGCAAAAAACTCATCAGGTTTATTCATACTGACTCCTGGAACAGCGTGCTCTTTGCAAACACTGCCAGCTAGCAACTTACTTGTACCTTAGGTATCAGAGCTTTTGCAGCGTGCTTAGGGAGAGGTGAGCCTGGAATATCTGCCAGTTGATGGGGTTGTAGCTCCTTTGTGTGCAGGACTGAGCACAGGAGAGTTTGCCCCATGCTGAAACTACACCTGTACTCGAGCCTGAGCTCGAGCATTAGCTCCAGGGAGAGCCTGGCCCTGGTAACCAGGATTGAGCCAGGGCACAACTGTGACTGTAGATGTATGCTCTGAGCTCCAGTGCTTTGTGACATGACATTTGCCAACTCTGCCAAAAAGAGGTCCTTTCTGTCTTTGTGTTGAGACCCAGAATCTGCCTGTAATCCCCAGGAGCGTCTGCATTCCCCTGCCCCTGTGGCCAGACATGTATCCTGGGCTGCATCAGAAGAACTGTGACCAGCAGGTCAAGGGAGGTGGTTCTGTCCTTGTATTCCACTCTGGTGAGCACCCAGAGCACCCAGAGCTGGAGCTCTGACAGCAAAGACATGGTTCTGTATAGTCAAATGCATTTACAGTGAAGCTGCCTGCAGATTTCACTCGTTTCGGTCGTGATCCCTTTCTGTAGCCTCAGCTCTCAAGTTCTGCATCATTCAGAAGTTCTCCTTTTTCCCTAGGAAAATCTGAACCTGGCCCTGAACTCTGCTTCAGCCATTGGGTGCCATGTTGTTAACATTGGAGCTGAAGACTTAAAAGAAGGGAAACCTTACCTGGTTCTGGGTCTTTTATGGCAAGTCATCAAAATTGGGCTCTTTGCCGACATAGAGATCAGCAGGAATGAAGGTATGTGTGGCTTTTCCTTTCAGTGTTCCTCTGTTATCACTGCAGAGTTTTCAGGATAAAGCTCTTAAAAAAAAAATAAATTGATTTTAATTTTTTTCTTCAAGTATTTGTTGTCTGTTTTCATGACTGGTCTAAGTTTCTTTGCTTTTCACAAGTTTCAGCACTCAAAAGTCCAAGGTTTTATGTAGAGTTGTGTGTTCAGAGCCTTTTCATACTCATTGCGTGAGAAATGGTGGTCTACATCCAAGAATATTGGCACTAAGTCTGGGATAAGAGAATCTGCATTCAGGAAGTTTGGCTCCTTCTTGCTCTTGATTGCCGAACATCTTTCTTTGTGAAATCATAATTATAGAATCATAGAATATTTTAGGCTGGAAGGAACCTGTGGAGGTGCACTTGGAGATCTGGCTCAGCCATCCAGCTACCTGCTTTCAGCAGTACAACGTCTTAAGTATAACATCTTAAGGTCAGATGAGGCTGCTTAGGGTCTTTTCCAGTGTTTTCTGGGCAGCCTGTTCCAGAGCCCAACTACTCTTGCTCTGAATTTTTTTTCTAGTTGGAATCTAGTTGGAATTTCCCTTCTGGTGCCTTGTGTCCACAGCTCCTCATCCTTTTCCTGTGCATACTGGAATAATTCAGATCTGGCCCCTCTGTAATGGCAGAAGACAATACTTGCTTCCCTCTCAAATCTCTTTCCAGGCTAAACAATCCCAGTTTCCTCTTCCTCTTCCCTTATATCACAAACTTCCATCCAAACTCCATTTTTGTATCCTTCCACTAAACTCACTGCAGTTTGTCAATATCTCTTTTATATTGGGGAGCCAGAAACTGGACACAGCATTCCAGGTGTGTCTCACCAATGCCAAAATTCTCCATGAAGTAGCTTCATCATGAAGGCTGTGAGTGCACCTGCAGTCCACACAGCATCTCATCTCACTGCTTTATTCCCATGCCTCTGGGTAGTCCCTCACCCAACAGTGACACTTCTTTTCTCCAGTTTCTGTGCAGGTGTTACCTTCATTCATTACCTTCACATTTCTGTCCCTTTCGTAGCCAGAGCCACCAGTTCCCATTCCTTTGTAGGCAGTGTTTCCCTGCTTATTTGCTATTTTTTCCCTTTCTGGTATTTTCTCCTTCACTTCTCATCTAAGACTTCATCTAAGACTAGACAAGCCAAGAGAATTCTGATTTCTTTTCAGGTTCTCTCTTTCCCTCATAGCCCTTCTCTGCAGCTGTTTCAGGTAAAAGACAGTTTCTTGATCCTATATTTCCAATGAGCTTTCATAAGCACATGATTTCAAGGCAGTAATACATCCCAACCTCTATGGGAATTACCTGGGATGCACTTAATATCATGTTGGATTTTCCCTATGTCATATCAAATGGTGGTTTAGAATAGCTTGGAAGACATCTAATACACTCAAGTTCTCATCCTTCATTCATATAAGCTTTTAGCTAATAGCAGTTATTTATATGAATTCCCCAGTGAATGTCTTTGAACATGGCACTATTAAATTGCATTCCATTTTTATTGCTGTCATCTAGTTCACTCTGTCTGATTTCTTGACCATCCTCTCTATTGACTATGCCACCTAGCCACTATCATCTTCACATTTTTAGCATATTGCAAATATTTGTGCCAAGGTAATTGATGCAAAAAAAGGGAGAAAACATTAATCCAAAAATCAATCCACAATCAACTACAAAAGAATCCTTCTTCCAGCCTTCTCTTAGTGTCAACACCATTCTCTTCATAGAATTCTCTGTCTACTTTCAAATGCTTCTATTACTCCCTATGGTCCAGTGTAATCCCATTGTACCCTACATCAAATTATCTGTTTAACTCCAGTTATGTTATGTCTCCACTGTTTCCTTTTCGTGGCCAATACATAATTCTTTCAAGGACTGACAAAAGATACTGGAAGAAAATCAGAGCAATGTAACACACTCTCTCTTTTTACCACATTAATAATTAGTTTCTGTGTCCGTTCTTCTTTTCAAAACTAGTCCTAAAGCCTTTCATGGTCCATGGAACACTGCATTTTCAAGGCTCAATCCTCCCATCCTGCCTGTTCCTCCTCTTATGAACATAATATCAATTTTTCTTTATCAATAGGGTGTCTCCTCAACTGACAGATGAGTTAGCCCTACTGGCCCACAAGCCCATGAAGTCATGTGCAAGTATTCCAGAACGCCTGTGTGAATCCAGTTTCAGTGTGAAGGTCACTCAGATTTCTTTCATCTAAGCTGCAAAAACCTTGTGTTCATATTTTCATTCCAAGCCTGCCCCTGTGCTCAGCATCAGTGGGTCCAGCTCTGCACTTTTCCACCCAGGAAAGACTTGGACCTGTTGGAGTGGGTCCAGAGGAAGGCCACAGAAAGGCTCAGAGTGCTGGGGCACTCCTGTGAAGACAGGCTGAGAAAGCTGAGATTGTTCAGCCTGGAAAAGGGAAGGTTCCAGGGAGACCTTATTGCAGCCTTCAAGTACCTAAAGGGGCTTATGAGAGGGATGATGACAAACTTTTCAATGGGGCCTGTTGCAGTAGCAGAAGGGGTAATGGTTTTAAACAAAAGAGGGTAGATTTAGACTGGATATGAGGAAGGATTTTTTTGCAATGAAAGGGGTGAAACACTGGCAGAGGTTGCCCAGAGAGGTGGTAGATGCCCCATTCCTGGAAACATTCAAAGGCATGTCAAATGGGGCTCTGAGCAAACTGATTTAGTTAAAGATGTCCCTGCTCATTGCAGGGAGGGTTGACCAGACCTTTATAGCTCGTGGGCAGCTCTTACACCACACTGAAATTGTCTCCCACTTGAATATGATCCACTACTAGATATACAAATTACAACCTTGTACTCATTTTATTGATGAGACCCTTTTTCTCTCTACATCCTGCCATGCTAACCCAGTTTGAATTTTCGCAACATTTTGGCAACTCACATTTAGAATTGAAGGTAGGAAAATGTAAAAGAGAGAAAACAGTTATACATTTTCCTTCACAAGTATTCACTCATTAATTTTCCTTTTTTTTTTTTTTCCCTGCTTAGCCTTGATTGCTCTTCTGAGAGAAGGAGAGAGCCTGGAGGATCTGATGAAGTTGTCTCCAGAGGACCTGCTGCTGAGATGGGCAAACTATCACCTGGAAAATGCAGGATGCAACAAAGTCAACAACTTCAGCTCAGACATCAAGGTATGAGAAATACTGACCAACAAAAGCAAAACAGCAGCTCTGCACCCAAAATCCTGCCCTCCACACAGGGACTGTGCACTGAAACACTCCAAGTAGCTAAGATTGCTCTGTCAAGATCATGGAGCTGGGTACATAAAATGCTTTCATGGGGCTTACCTTTGCACTCAGTAGTATTCCTCCTCTTCCTCCTGACCTCCCAGTCATCACTGCCAGCTCCTGCACACCAGATGGCTGGGAAAGGGATGTCTGCTGGCTCTGGACAGGGCATATGGACACTGTATTTTCAGTTCCTTGCCTCTATTGCTCTTCTCCTTTCCAAATCTCCGTAAATAACTCTTGACCTGACTTTCGTTTGGAAAAGCCTGGACTTTACTGAGACATGTAGAGAAAGATGACTGGGCATTTCTAATTCCCCACTTGATCTTTCCTTCACCTGGGCTATGTGCTCCTCTGTCCCAACATTTGCTATAGCCCTGCATGCAGTTGTCTGCAAGTTTTAATTCACTGGGACTATTGAAAAGATTGCAGCTAGACTGGGAGACACTTGCAAGGGTGGGTCTGGAGTCTGGGCAGCATTATTTCATATACCCAGGACCTCTTGGGCTTATGACTGCAGATTTCAGCAAAGCTTTCTCTGTAGGACCTTCATTGTTCCCAGACAGATGTATCTGAACCTCAGTAGTGCCCTCTGATGAATTTCAGACACTAAAGCCCAGTGTGAGGCCCAGAGAGCATCCCAGAGCTGTAGAGGGTGTATAAGGGAGGGTACCTGAGCTGGCTTACAAGAAAGCCAGGGGCTGGCCAGCACACCAACCTCACCAGCCACAACCTGTCTTGCCTGCTCCCAGAATAGCATGGGGAAAATCCGGTTCTAGAGGTACCTGGTCATAGGCTTCACTAGGGACTGAAGCACAAGCACAAGCATTTAATTGAAATGCAGGAAAAAAACACCAGGGAAAGCAACAGGAGAGGTAGAGAATCACATTTGATAAAACAATTTTTATTTTAGCAGATTTTTGGTTGACTGGGTGGAGGTGACTGAAGAATATCCATAAAAAGGGAAGGGAATGGAGTGTTTTCCATCTTTCTGTGTGCTGGCAAAAAAGACTACGATGCAACCGATTAAATCCTACCTACAACTGAAAGTGAAATCCCTATTCCAATCCCAATTCCAATGTTAACTGTTGGAAAATAAGGCACATGTTTACAAGATTTCAGTGTTTACAGACATTCTCTAAGTCTGTCCTTCCACCTCACTTCTGCTGTAAATAACCACTTCCTAGATATGGTGTGTAGTAATGCAGATGTAAAATATTTAAAATAATTCAGGTAGTCTGCTTTACATTCTGAAGAGCATCAGTTGGGTTAGTTTGACAAGTCCCTAGACATTAACATGTTGCTTTATTTTCAGTTCTTCGAGCTGTTTTTGAAGTGAGTTAATATTTTCCACATATGGAAGCAGTGTACTATTTCACAAAAGATTAAAGACACAACATGTTA